GAATCATGAATCATGAGTCATAAATCATGAGTCATAAATCATGAATCATAAATCATGGTCCATGACTCATGGACCATTATTTTCAAAACTAACCGTCTCCATTCAACAACCCGTCCTGAAATCTTTCAGGTGACCCACCAAAAGATTTGTTGGTTCCAAGATCATTTTGACATCCTCTCTGTCAGCCACAGCCAACAGCTAAATCCACCCAAAACAAGTAACAGTTTAAAAAACAACATTAGTCTATGAAGGTTGGTCGGATATGTTGAAGATCAACTTCTTACCATGATGGTCATGTTGGGCAGTCTGAACTGAGCATTAGAGAAGCCCTTGTGGACTGGACACACATCCTGGAGTCCAGCAAAGGGGGACACAGTGATGGTTCGACCCACAGGAAGAATGGGCAGGCTGTCAGAAAACCCTCCATCAATCCATTTCTAATGAAACAAAATCAGCTGGTTAAAAAATGTTTCTCATATTGTCCAGCAGCTACAGAAACTGATGAAACCAAGCAGTACACTGATGACTGACTGCTTCAAACGTTCATTTCAACGCAGGACAAAACACGTAAACAGGCAGACTTGGTGTTTTTAATGTCTTTTTAAATGTCACTGTGGACATTATTGCCACCTGGTGGTGATGAATAGGAATTTTCAGTATTTAGGCTCAAATCATTTGGATGGATGGAAATATATCTGTTCAAAACTCTAGGTGCTTAAATGCCTTTTCTGTTTGTTTATTAAAGTTTGGAAATCTCAAAAGAAGAAGTATTGTTATTGACACAAGTAACTGTCAATAGTAATATGTCAATATTTGTGTTTTGAGTAGTAATTTTTGAAACAGAAATTCGATATGGTGACATTTACGTTAAATACATGAATATTTTGTTTGTAAACTTTATGACATGAATTAAATCTGCATAGAAACTGAAATACAAGTATCGTCTCTGAGCCCCTTCTTGTTTGCTCTGGTGATGGACGACTAACAGATGAGGTCAGGCAGGAATCCCCGTGGACTATGATGTTTGCAGATGACATTGTGACCTGTGGTGAGAACAGGGAACAGGTGGAAGAGAACTTGGAGAGGTGGAGGTATGCACTAGAAAGAAGAGGAATGAAAGTCAGCCGTAGTAAGACAGAGTCCATGTGTGTGAATGAGAGGGAGGAGGTGGAACAGTGAGGCTACAAGGAGCAGAGGTCACAAAGGTGCAGGACTTCAAGGACTTGGGGTCCACTGTCCAGGAACATGGGGAGTGTGGTGAAGAGGTGAAGAAGAGAGTCCAGGCAGGATGGAGTGATGGAGAAAAGTTTCAGGAGTGATTTGAGACAAAAGGGTGTCAGCAAAAGTCAAAGGAAAAGTTTACAAGACAGTGGTGAGACCAGCTATGTTGTATGGTCTGGAGACAGAGACATGGACAAAAAGACAGGAGACAGAACTGGAAGTGTCAGAAATGAAGATGTTGAGGTTCTCCTTAGGAGAGACAAGGATGGAGAAGATCAGGAATGAGATAATCAGAGGTACAGCACAGGTTGAACAACTGGGAGATGAAGTTAGAGAGGACACACTGAGATGGTTTGGACATGTCCAGAGGAGGGACAGTGGTTTGGTTGAAATGTATATGGATGCAGTTAGAGAGGACATGAAGGTAATTGGAGTGAGGACAGAGTGAGGTGGAGGAGGATGACTCGTGGTGGAGATGCTTGAAGAGGGAAAACTGAAAGAAGAAGAAATAATAGTAAATTCTGACTGGTTGGTAAAGTCAACCCATAGAGGAGAGGGGATTCGTTAACCAGTTCAAGCTTGAACAAGAAACAGATGGAGAGGAGTTTGGAGTGTCAAGATAAAGCTCCAAGAAAATCTAGTTTTTTTTAGAAACCTACAAAAACATTGAGAGCTTGAGACGGGGCCTGAGAACGAGCCGAATGACCAACGTACACAGAAACACTTCCTTGTGAATTCTTCATGACTACATTAAAAAAATTAATCTGAGTGCTTTGGATAAAAGTGAAATTCAATAACTACTATAAACAAACTGCACACGATGAGTTAGTTACCTGTCCTCTGAACTCCACTGGTTTGAGTCCAGCATAAACTGGTACAAAGCTGCTAGCGAGTAGAGCCTGTAGATGTTGGAGTTGCCACACAGTTAAATGAACCCTAAGGTGAACACTGGAGACAGACCGTGCAGTGGACGAGTGCAGGCAGGGAAGACTTACCTCGATGAGCTCGTCTCTGGAGGTAAACCTGGACACAACGCAGTTCTTGCCACTTTTTGAGTGTGTTATTGACACATGGAGCCTATCAGTGGCCACACTGTGTGCCTCCCTGGGAAGAATCTCCTCGATCCCATCCCTACAGAGTAAATGAACATATCAGGATCTTCAGAACATGTACACAGAGGGTGGAAACAAATGATGTGTTCTGAATTGTTGTTGTTGCTTTGAAGCCTCAACAATGACCTTCAGAAGCTGTGCACTGTGATTTGTTGAGAAAGATTCCCCTGTGAGGAATCCACAGGAACTAAACCTGTCAAATGATAAACACGTGTTCTGATAGCCCCACAATGAGCACTAGTTTAACACGTCTAAGTCGTGAAGGCTACCACCAAGCAAGAGACAGCATGAAGACCAAGGAACTCTCCATGCAGGTCAGACACAGAAGTGTGTAGACATAGTGATGGAAGATAAAAACAAATTACTAATAATAAAATAATCCAAATCCTGAACATCACACAGAGCGCCATTAAATCAACTGCCTCAACAAACCAGCCAAGAGAAAAACCTTGGAAGGAGGGCATGAATCAGAGACAGAGCAGTTCTACAGAGATGACCAGAGGATCTGGCCAAAGAAGCACAAGACTGGCCAGTGCAATGAGGGCTTGAAGGACAAAATAAAAGCTGGACTGGTGCGTTGTTCCAAAGCCTGACCTGACCTGGACTCCACAGTAATGTCTGACTTTAGGCCCATTTCAAAACTGCCTTTGTGTCACTGCCTTTACACAAATCTACCACAATCCAGCTGCATTTCATAGGTTGTGTAGGTGGTGGGGGCATCATCCAGGATGATGGGGGCTTTATGAAGAAAGGGAGTGTGGTATGTTGCTCACAGTACAGATGAAACCTCTCCGAGTGATTACCGTAAAGTCAGCATGAAGTCGAATCCTGGAGTAACGGCTCCAAACTTCTGTTGCCTCACACTTTCTGCAAACCTGTAGGTGAATTCTTTACATGGCTGGAAGGAGAAAAGAAACGCTGTGAGGACGTCACCCATCATCACCGTGTGCACAGGAGCTGGTGGAGGCTTCCGTGTGGATTGTGTACTAGCTAACAGGACAGGTGTTCTATCATCAGCTCGTCTCGGTTCTTACACAGGATCAAGAGTCTTTCACACGTTTCACATTTGTACTCAGGCTCAAGACTACATAAGAACTTTATTTTCATTATTATTTATTTCAAGTTTCATAACGTAGCATGTTTCATTTATTTTTATATCACTTCTTTTCTTCACTTTTCATTTTATATGAATGTCTCTTGCTGTGTGTGCGTCCTCTGTGCTCTCAGTTTAAAACTGGTCTCTGTGTAAATGAGTCCTCACGACTCCATGACACCAACACGTAGAGTTCACCTTTATTCACACAGGTTAGTCTCACTGAGCCACGAGGACTCATTTACAACAGGGACCAGTTAATACAGGTCTCAAATACAACTGGGACGTTCAAACGGTGGATCATCTACTACAGAGAGCATTTATAGAGCGGAGCTACTCAACTGAACTGCTCAGGGGGCCACGATTACTCAAAGACAAGAACTCAGGGGCCGGACATCCAGCAGTTATGGTCATTAAGTGACTTTGTTTTACAGCTTAAAATCTAGTTTTGTTTAAAAATGAACCCACTGGTGGGCCGACCTGAGCTCACCTGTGGGCCTGATGTGGCCCCCGGGCCACCAGTTGAATAGCCCTGTTATAGAGCGTTACAAAAGCACAACAGCAGAAGTCGAGCTGAACCTAACTAAACTGTGGATATCGCTGGCCCTTCACAGCCTTAGTGGTGGTAATAATTAGAACAATAAAAAATAAGTTACAAAAATGGACGTTTTTTCATGTAATGTCCGTCCATCAAAAACTTTGTATTCAGTCACAAGTTCTCTTAATATTTTCTTAGCATTTGGTAGCAGTGCCTGTAAGCCTCCTGCTGCCCTTGGTCAATACCCTGGCCCCAGGGCAGCAGGAGGCTTACTCTGCTGAACGTGGGTCAAACATTTTGGGCTTCCTTCCATAAACTCCAGTTTGCTGGAAATGAATCCCCGTTCCTCCTGACTGAACTACGTCTCATGTTCATCTCTGCTCACAGGTTTTCTCTGGGACTGGCATGATGACTTTGTGAAGGCTGCTCCAAAACATGGACTTTGTTGTTCGTCAGACATTTGTAGCTAATTAGTCAGTATGCTGAGAGACATTGTCCCTGTGAAGACACATTTGTGTCCGAGCTTGAACTTCCTGACTGACGTCTTCAGATGCTGCTTCAATATTTCCACATAACGTTCTTTCGTCATGATGACATCTATTTTAGGAAAGTCACCAGTCCCTCCTGCAGCCAAACACCCCCACAACATGATGCTGCCACCCCCGTGCTTCACAGCTGGGATAATAAAATCTTCCCCTTTTTCCTCCAAACGTAACAATGGTCATTCTGGTCAAACTGGTTCTGGTTAGTCCAGGACTTGTTTCTCTGTGGATAATGAGACTCTGATGAGCTTCAGCAGCTACTTCACCATCATCATCTTCATCTTCAGCTTTGGTTTGGGGTTGATGTGCACATTTTGCACCAAAACACGTTCATTTAAGGAACACAGACCCATCTCCTTCCTGACTCATATGATGGCAGGACATTTCCATGGTGTTTCTATTAGAGCCCGCCCAATATATTTGGTAGGGTCGATAATTTCGGCTGATAGACGTTTGAGGACCTTTCATATCCATGACGATTGTCCCATTATGCACAGAAATAAAAAAAACTTGTAATTTTCACCCCTAAAATGCTGGAACCTGCTGTAATTGTATAATGTAGCCAGCAGAGGGCGCATGAAGACAACTTTCAAGTCATGGCCGTTCACTTTAACTTTCACTTTCAGCACAGCTGAAGCAGGGAGCAACACAACACACAACATTTAACTGATCTGTAAAACTAATCAACAATAATAAATTCTCTTCAATCCTCCAACCTGCTTGCCATTAGCCACATGCCCCTCACATTAGCAAGCTTACATTTAGATAAACTAGCATAGGCTATTTCCTTATAAAACTTTAACCAGATCAATACATCTAATGTACAGGTAAACATATATCAGTGTTAGTAACATTTTCTTTATTGTTCTTAACGGAATGCGTTGTTTTTCTGAATATTTACTTCTCTACAAAGAAAAATAAACTCTGTTGTGTCTCTACTAATTCGACCTTGACTGTTGAAAACAATGAACAGTGAGGCTGTTGCTTTGTTTCATTTATATTTATGTACAACGCTTGATAACTTTTTGGTGAATAGTGGAGGATAGAAAATGTGAACTCACGTTAGGAACTGTTTTTATGAGCAGTGCACCACTAACCTACTGTGGGTCTACGTATGGATCTGATTAGCTTAGCTTCATAGTTGCTAACAGCTGTGCTAAATAATCAAACCCTGCTCCACTCGCTGTTTTCTGACATTCTTGGGGGTGGACAAAGAAAAAAAATCAATAAAATCAGCCACTATATCGGTTATCAGCCGTCGCCTGCTCCTCCCAATATCAATATCGGTGATGGTCAAAATTTCCATATCGGTCGGGCTGTAGTTTGTTTTTGTGTGTAACTGTCTGAACAGATGAACCTTGAGACATCTGGAAACTGGATCCAAGAATGAACCAGTGAACCAGCTCAACAACTGCTCCTCATGTTGTGGCTGATTTCTTTTGATTTCCCATGATGCCACACAAAGACGCAGGGTGCTGGAGGTGCACCTCCAGTTAGCGCAGATGTTGTCAGATAACCAATCCAAATCTTCCAAAGACATGACATCATCATCTAGGTTCCCCAAATTGTTTAAAAACAAAGACATTTCAGTGGATGTAAACTGGTGACTTAAAAAAAAAAAAATTTCCTAAAATATTCTCTTTCTCATTATTTGTGAATTTAAGCAATAGAAATAATTTTATGAATCCTAACGGACCTAAAACATGTCAGGTTGAGTCTGAACTCACGTCAGAGAAAAGTGTGTAAATATCTGTTGTCAGCTGTTTCAGTTTTTTAACTCGTTGTTTAATTTGATAAATAGTTCTTGTAGAAAATGTAGATGATGAATAAAATAAAGTAGAATTTAAATGAGACCTTGGTAATAATACAGTTTGCTTCCATGTTCCCACAAATTTGGGCCAAAAGTCGACGGAGACAGATATTTGATCAGCAAAGCTCCTCTGCTCGTTTCTACTTTGAACAGGATGAGCCACTAAAACACAACTACAGAACCTTCATTGTTACACCACGCGTGCAGCCCGGACAAACTTACAGTATTCCAGTGCGAAGCGTTACTCAGTCACTGATAATGTGGTGGACCGCTACAGTATTGGACCATGGACAGACGTGAACCCTGTAGTCCTCACCTCTAACTTGTCGGGAGCTGTGATCAGAACAGCAGCCACCAGTGCTCCAGCTGAAGACCCTGCACAAGCCCTCATGGACCCCAGCAGCTTGTCCCCGTGGCGGAGCAGAGCCCCCACAACGCCCAGGTGGTAGATCCCCGCAAAACCACAAGCAGCAAAGGACAGATTTAGGACTGACATCCTCAGCACCTGATCAGAAACGACATCACGGCTCAAAGAAAAGGATGGGGCAATGATCTGCTCAGACACTTCAGGACCGTGCGCTGGTGCAGCGGGTCATGCTGTTGTCTAACAACAAAGAGGCTGCAGGTTCAAACCTTGTCTGAGGTGTCGCTGGGTGAAATGTATTCCCTCCCACAGTCCACAAACATGTTGCTTACATTAATTAGACATTGTACATTTTTTATCAATCTGCACGGTTCTCTGCTGTTGTAGAGGATGAAGAGGATGAAGAGGATGAAGAGGACTTCTGTTCCAAAACCTGGTTTGTAAAAATGATTTTTATTATTTCACATTTGCTCTCCAACTTGTAACTTCAAGCCCAGGTGTCAAAGTACAGACGTCGCCCAGTGTCTGTTACATGATTATGGAGAAGTCTTTACAATAAAAATGAACATCAGAAACAAATAAACTTTGTTTACACCAGCAGTTAGAAGAATCAAATATTAATTTCAGGGTGATGATTTCTGTTTTGACCTTCAGCAAAATGTGGTGTGGTTGAAGCCGAGCCATTAAAAACCCAAACTCCACATGATACTCGTGCGTAACATGACAACATTACCTGCTGGAGTGAACCCTGACGGTGTGTTAGCAAAAAACTAACCACTGGACAGATATCAAACTAACCACTGGACAGATATCAAACTAACCACTGGACAGATATTAAACTAAATACAGGACAGATATCAAACTAACCACTGGACAGATATTAAACTAAACACTGGACAGATATTAAACTAACCACTGGACAGATATTAAACTAACCACTGGACAGATAT